CATATTTACACACCATTCAAAAGAGACAATTAAAAAAAAACCTATGAAGGAAACAAAAAGACTAGAACACATTCCCTCCATCAGCCAACAGTCAAATAAGCAAGGATCAATACCAGACAAAACAATACTCTAAACAAGGAACCACCAAGGAGGAAACCACACCCCCACCAAAACTGGCAGAACAAGCTACTATATATAAACAGGCAGCAAAATCCCACACTCACTTGCAGTGATGATGTTACTTACAGGGGTAATGAAACGTCTGCAAGCAAGCAGCCGAGCTCAGAGAGCACCAAGAATTCCACAGGTCTATCTCTTTCACCAAGCTTTTATTTTTAGATGATTGTAGCATTTACTTTATTGTAATTTTAAATCTGTATTTGTAGTTTTTATATTTACTTTATTACATTTTGTTAGCTACTTTAAGTACTCACCAAAGCGGAAGGGCAAGATATAAACCAAATAAATAAATATGGATTCTATTAACTGTTGTTGATAACTTCATGAAACTGATCCCTACACTATCAACAAAAGCAATCAAGAGGAGAAAAATCAACAGTGAAAAGAATGTTATAGAAGATTAAATAAGATTTGATTTAATTGACTCAATCCAATATTTAGATACCTAATAAACATTAATACTCAATGAAAATTATACTAGAAGCTGGGATTAATTGTAGCACAACTGCTGCTAAGGGCATCTTTATTTAGAACAAAGTCTCAAATAGAAGGATAGCTGTGGTTCTAATGCTCCTTTCTTGTTTTAGAAGTTTACATGCTGGTTTTTTTCACTTAATCTTGTAATAAGCAGGAAAAATGCAAATGGAAAACATAACTTCCTTAAATGATTAATTCTGCATTGTTCCATTTATTATTTTGGATGGAATAAAATTGCTGTCCATGTGAAGTTCAATGAATGATATCATGAGATCCAGTTTCTCATTCCTTTCTTTCACTGCTCAGCTGCCCAAATACATCCAAAGGCATTTCACCTCCAACGTCCTAGGTAGCCTGCAAAACCTTGGATTGTGATTCTGTACTTCATTAAGCATCGCTAGGCCCCTCACCATGGAAAGAGGAGCAAGCCAGCAGTGGTCTCTAAGAAACAAAGTGCATTTTCATCTTTGCAGTGTGAATCAGTCATGTCATCATGTTGGCATTCCTTAATTTAGAACATCCCTCCAACTGTTTGTGCAGAGCTAACAATAACACTGTCTCTTGCTTGCAATGCATTCAGGCAGCTGTGAACTTTGAAGGATCACATAGCAATGAGCTAAGAAGAACTGTGGGTTCATAGAAAAATATTTGATAGCCCTCCCAGTGGTTATTTAATATATTTAATATAAGAAGTATTTGATGGATAATCTCAAGTGGATCCCTGCTACCCTTTGATCTTTCTTTTGTTTTGCACCACTCTATGTTACTATAGAATTACCAAGGGCTGAATAGTTGGCAGCTTCATGTTCTCACTTTTAGGGCTAGTATGAGTGCTGCTGCAGCTTATGTCTCTTCTGTCTTCCACATAGGGTTCCCTCTTGGAAAACCTTTGTCTCCTGTAAAAAAAAAAAAAAAAGATCAAGGAAATAAACCTCTCTTTGGACAAAAATATTATGGCTATAAAATATAGTTCAAGTATCCATTTGTTTAGCTAGCTGAATTCCATTCCATTCCTATCAAACTAGTGCAGTGTAACACTGATCTTTAACAGTTGAGACTGGAACTATTATTTCAGTCTTCCCCATACTATGCCCTCCAAAAGAAGCAATATTTATACCCAAATGGCACGGCCTGCTAGATGGCAATTATTGGAATTGTAGTTCAATGGCTTTGGAACATACCTGTTGGAGAAGAAGGAGGCGGCTACACTATTGGCCATAGCTAGGGATAATGAGATGGACACCGAGACAGAGAGATGGAGAGATCGAGTTCAGTCTTCCCTAACTTACAGTCCTCAGATATAGGGAACATCAGTTTTCCTTTCATAAATACATGAAACTTAAAACTTGTTTACTTCACTTGCATAGGGAAAGGATGAAATGCCAGTGGCCCTTATTCAAGAAAAACAGTTTAAGTTTCATTGAATCTATCTGGAAATGCTCCTCCAGGTGTGCATCACCAAGATCCCTGGGATATATGTGGTCCCCAATTGTTGCACTTAATTTTAACTAACATGTCAGAAACTGAAAAATATTAAATACATGATTGAGTGATTGATTGATTGATTATGTGCCAGCAAGTCGTTTTTGACTCCTAGTGACCACATAGATAGATTTTCTCCATGACAATCTATCCCTAACCCACATTTACTTTTGCCATGGTCACACCCATTTTGTGTAAGTAATGGATGTGCAAGCCTGTGGCATGCTACTCAAAGGCAGAGTGCAACCCTTAGCCTAAAACAATGTGCACATGGCTTCACCCACAATTAATTTGAGTCTCAATTTCTTTGGATGTTTGTTAGTTTTCTCTGGAATGAGATCCATTTGATTTAGTTTATTGAAGTCACTTTCCCACAGCTTCAGCTCTTCAGGATAATCAGTATTCACCTCCACAATAAAAATGGACAGACCTCAAACTCTCCAGATATGCCTTAACTTTTATTAGACCCTCAAGTGCAAATGATCTCCACTTGTATTTAAAGACAAAGGTGCTATTGAGCAAAGTTTAGTTACATTCCAAAACTGAACCAAGCTCATCATTGTTTCACATTCCAGCCCACTCTTCCCTGTTCTAAGCTTTCATCATTTCAGCTTCATTTAAGCTGGAAAAATCCATGTTGCTGTTCCTATTGCTAAAGTATTACTGATCAGATGTGAGAGGTATTCCAGCATATCTGGAACCAGCCACTCCATTTTACATTATTGTCATAAAATTGCTTAAATAATAAGTAAAGCACTTTGGACACTAATAATGGACTGTGTTAATTATGTTACTTTTGCATACAACACTGAGGAAGAATTTCACCTTTCAAAAGTTAACATTTTCTGAAAGCAAATTCATTGTCTAAGTGGGAGTACCATAGTTCCAGACACCATCCACACATAACTGGGTGGTATGTAACCAAAGGCACCGCCCATATATAAGTAGACTTGAGAGAACTCCATGTTTTGCTGAAGTACCCCCCGCCACACACAAACACTCCTCCCCACCAAGGTGTAGAATAGGCATACTTCAAGAAGGAGAATGGCATTATATAAGCTGCAATATGGCCCTCTGGGTAGCACCCTGAAGAAGAAAGCATTAGTTTATTTGTAGATCCCATTAGTAAGGCTTCTTAGTAGATGAATATAGCAGCAGTAGGAAGACAGTTTGTGTTTTATAAGCCTTATCCCAGCAGGCCACGTTCTTTTTGTTTTTGTGAGTGTATTTTCTTAGTTCTACAAGCTTCTTAAGGAGCAATATGAGTTCATGTTTTATGGATGAAGGGAAGGCCTTTTACTGACCTGCTTCCAAAACATAATCAATACGTCTTAAAATACAGCAGAGTATGAGTAAAAATGAAATAGCAATCCCAATTCAAATATTGGCTTCTGGGCTCCAGTTAAAGGGGGATTTAGATCAGTGATTCAATTTTGATCTAGCTAGCCTACTGATAGCGGTAATACAAACCCAGTGGAGCATGTAATTGAAAACTTGCTTTTAAGATAAACAGTTACGTTGATCAAAACCATTTGGTAAAAGAGAAAAGTGAATCAGGGCAAAACAAATTAATAATAATAATAAGTGTTTATAGAAGTGGAGATACAGAAATAGTGGAATGAATCAGGGTTCCTAAATTTTAAATGTTCAAGGTATTTTTATTATTGTGGGGATGGTGATGATGATGATGATCATGATCATGATCATGATCATGATCATGATCATGATCATGATCATGATCATGATCATGATCATGATCATGATCATGATCATGATCATGATCATGATCATGATCATGATCATGATCATGATCATGATCATGATCATGATCATGATCATGATCATGATCATGATCATGATCATGATCATGATCATGATCATGATCATGATCATGATCATGATCATGATCATGATCATGATCATGATCATGATCATTTTCATACAATTTCACCAGTTTGGGTGACCCTATGTTTCAAATACTTGATTCATATGGACCATTCAGCTGAACTGAGGACTCAACAAACTGCAATCAACATTTAGTGTAGCATTCTGACTCCAACTAAATGTAAATTAAAACAGTACTGCTTTCAGATAAACAGTATAAATGTTGGGCATGTTCTACATTAGAACAAAAGCAATGGACAACTACATCTAATATCAAAGTCCCTTTCTCATGCACATCAGGGAGCTTCTCAGACTATCATGGCTTTGTATGTGAGGCGACTGTGTTTTGGACAGATGAGGACTCTGCCAAATTTGGTTTAGTAGTCCTTGATATAAAAATTAAAAATCTGGCACTCTTTCTATCCTTCCAAACCCATCATGGCTTTCACCATGTCTATACACCATTTCATATATTGCATTTTGAGGATCTCAACAACTCTTTCCAACTAACTTGGCTTTTTTGAACCGCAGCACTGTGGAAGCTCCATACCTATTCACCTTATTGTATGCTTTCTCCAAATCAACAAACATACAATAGAATTCCTTTCTTACATTCACTTTATTTTTAAATGCATTTTCTCTTTTAGAGGTTCCTTGTTTAGCCTTCTTCACCCATTTCCAAAACAACTTTTATTTCCATCAAAATTGCTGTGTACTGTCTCTGCCTCTTTTAATCTTGATTTTCCTTGCTGTCTTTGATTAATCCATCTTTTTCTCTATACGTACATCTCTATATGTTATTCAGCTCTCTATATAAATTAACCCTAGCCCTACTTCTCTTTCTATTCATAGTACAAAGACTTACACTTATCCTAACTTTTTGCAGTTACATATGATAATGCATTTTTTCTTATTCATAACTTCTTTCAATTCAACATTCCTTTCAATACATCTCCACAGATTACTGTGGCACTGTCCTACAAAACTTCTTTCACTATGCTCCAAGCAGCTTTTACATCCTCTTTTCTCACTTTCCATTCATAATGTTGCAAGTTTAATTTCTCCAATATATTTTCATAAAGGTATTTATTCATGCTTTCCATTCCTGCAATTATTCTATTATCGCTCATATTTCTTTCACTTTTCCTTTTTCCCCTATCCATTTTTCCAAGATCTATTCTTGACAACATCAAATAATTGTCCATTACAATTGATTATTTCTAGTATTCTTCACTGACTTTCTCAATTTTTCATCATAAACAATCAAATCAGTCATGTTTTTGTGAGAGTGGTGGTTCTGCAGTGGTTAAGGTACTGGACAAGGAGCAGGGAGATCCAGGATCTAATTCTCCCTTAGAAGTAGAAGCCAGCTGGATAATTTCGGGCCAGTCATGCCCTCTCGGCTCTAATCAGTGTCAGATTCTGTAACAAGCCAGCTGATAAATAAACCCTTTGTCACATCATACACTGATAGTTTTCCTGTAAAAACTAGGTGAGCACAATGCAAACATAAGCAAATCCTGCAACTGTGTGGAATAAACACTAAGAAAAACAATGCATTCTAAGACACAATCTTCCATAGATTCCACCAGACAGGCCCATAGATATTCACTTTCAGCATCAATTGTGGGTTCCATCAAATGAGACTTTTACATAATGCTTTTTAATAATATAGAGAGGGTGTAGACAAGGTTATTAAGCTTTACCTGTGCCTCTGCCTCTGCCACATGCAGCAAGCCCTACTACTGGTACCAAGAAACCACAAGCACACTCAACGCCCAGTTGTAACCCAAGCATGTTCACGCTATTACAAGAATACTATGATATCTAATCTAGAACCAACAATATATTAAAAGCCAACCTACTGTTGTTTGTATGCCACCAACTAGGAAGCACATGCAATGTTTTAATACACACTCAGGAAGAAAATTCACAAATTTTCAGAGCTCTCAAGAAACAAGTTCTTCAGTGCCCCAAAGTATATTATTCAGCTTCAGTGAAGGATTCTGTAGACATCAGTTTGACTGAGATTAAACTTTCTCAGCTAACAGAGTCAACATGAGCTGTGTGAGTCCAAGAAGGCAGAGAAACTAGAATACGGGGTAGCTAGGGATTGTACAGCTGAATAAGCAGGGCACGTAAAGCAGGGGATTAAAATTTGGCCTTGTTAATTAACCCTGAGCCAAAGCTTTTGATGCTATCACTTCTGAGAAATTAGGTCTGCAGCCCTGATTGCTTATTTTTTCAGCAGGTGAGGACGAGTGCACAGTGATGCTATGTCTTCAGTGTATTCTTACTTGATATAAATTAAGAGCCAGAGAAAGCCCAGGAACAACCATCACCGAGATCTGCTCAGCTGGATATTCTCTTTCCCATTATTGTCAGCTGCACAGTGGGAAGATGCCTGAAAAGAGGGAGAGGAAGACAGGCCTTTTCCCCTGCTCACATCCAAGAGGATCATTATTACCAACTCTATTTCAAGAAGAATCCTAGAAGTTATATTTTTATTTACCATTGTTTATATTGCTTGTAAATTGCCAGGAAAATTGTTAGCCTGAATAGTGGGATTCAAATAGTTTTGATAATAAATGTAAATATTTCATTTGTATAGTTGTAGGACATGATGGAACTCTCTTTGTTTCTAAGAAGAGGGGCTGATCTCATATTTTGAGAATGGCACATAGGCAGATAAGATTACGTACATCATTAATGTATAAACATAGCCAGGTGGATTTCTGATTCCAGTTTCGTTCTAGGTCACCCTTTTCATACCATGTGTTTCTGAAAAGCATGACACATTCACCCACTTTCTGACATGAATTTGAAACATTGGGAAAATAATTTTCTGTGTAGAAGCTCTGTTGTTCCCAATGTAAATAACATACAATCATTGCATGACTTTTAATTGCCAAGGTAAATCCATCCTGTTGTTACACTTTTAAGAAAATAACAACAATTAGGGAACGAGAATAACAGGGCACTTTTAGATGGAGTGCAGTTACCACAGCATGTATTGTGCAGTCAATTTTGAAGGAATCCCCAGTGAGGCCATCTTCCACTTGGGTCCTTTCCTTTCCCTTCCTTTCCCCTTTCCCTTTCCCTTTCCCTTTCCCTTTCCCTTTCCCTTTCCCTTTCCCTTTCCCTTTCCCTTTCC